TTTTCTCACATAACCTAAATGTACTGTGAAATTTACCCTGTCAGCATATACGACACTTCCAGTTCATCCCTGTCACCTAGAACATCAGTATTCATTGTGTCCTGAGACCCCATGGAAGTTGCCAAGCACCTCAGGCTGCCTGCAAGGTCCTTGCTTTTCCAGCGGTATGTCTGTACAAGACAGCATTTTCTTCATATGCTTTAAGTAAAACAATATATCACAGCAGATTGATGCACAAGCAGATATGAGAATCCAGCTGTCTTCTATCAATTCATACCTAGAGACAACACAAATGGAAAACAACATCAATCTTCTCTCTAAAGTTCATTTATATAGCTATTTTTCATGTTATTGATGTTAAAGTGAAACAGATTTGTTATTTGTAAATCAATTAATAAATAAACATTTACTGTTTTTCAGTTTTAATTGTTAATGCAAAAAATATTGATAGTATAACCCACATAAACAAAGTCTTTGGGGTCCTCGATAATTTGTAAGAGTATTAAGGGCTCTTGCGATTAAAAAGTTTGAAAACTACTGCCATAACCTTTTCATGTGGCAGTTGTCAGACACTGCCGACAGCCTCATGTTCCAGAGGGAAATTCTCTGTGCGCAGTCAGATCTTATGTATTTTAAGATTCCACATCACCCAATGGCGGGCCAAGTGTTTGACATCAGTTGAAGGTACTGATAAAAACATTGCTGTCTGTCTGTGAGGACACCTTTCTCTTGGAGAAGGATTAGATCCCAGGGAAGGTCTTTGGGGTGAGGTGTAGGGGCTTCATCTAGGTCACCATTGACAAATACCTAGGCTTGCAGAATTGCCTACTATGGGATTTTTAAAAGATTTTTCAAAAATTGCTTTTGAAACTCTGTCTTGATGATGGAAGGTGTAAGTAGTTTTAAAAAGCCAACATGGAGATCAAAGGACCCACCATACCCACGTGGCACAAGTTTGGTTTACGTATCGGTGTTTTGGTATACAGACATCATCTTTCCAAGACAAATTCTTGCAAGTCTTGAGTGCCTCCTTGCTCTTCCTTGGAATTGCAGATGCTGCCCTATGTGTGGGCCTTCCCTTTGCATTTATTTTTCCTGGACGCTTCTCCCCTTCTTCACCTCCATGTCTGCACGTTTCATCCGTAAGCTAATTCCGCTCTTCACTAAAATGTCTTCTCAGTGAGGCTTTCCCTGGTCACACTACCCAAAATAAATTCCTCCTCCTAATGCTTTCTAACTATCCCCTTTCCTTTTCACTATTTGTTGGTGACTTTCTCTTATCATCCTTCTTTGCACCTCCCACTAGAATGTCCCCATCAGTAAGGTGGGAATTTCTACCTTCTTTGTTCACTGTGGTCTCCCTGGCACCTAACATGGTAAATGTTCAACGGACTTTATTTAGTAATTCATTCATTACTAAATAAATAAAATCAAACTTTACTAGGTGGATATTATTTCTTTTTGATGGTGTAGTTCTACTTTTATAGGAAAATGAGGAAATAGTGGAGAGGGGTAGCTTGGAGCACCCTGGTCTCCATAGCATGTTAATGTCTCCAGGTGCCATAGCTCATAGGCACTGGATGGAAATGAGAGATGCAAGGATGTGGAGGAGGTAAAATCACTCCACTTTGAAGAATGCTGGGAGGGATGGTTCTTCTTGACTCACCTGTCAGTGTATCTTCCAGGGCAGGGAATGCCCCTGGTGATGAATTCTTGCCAGCCAAGCAGGTTTTTATTTTGGAATATGTTCATGTTCCTTGTAGGGGGAGGATGGGCAGGTAACTTCTCTATGTCCCTGCGTTGAGGCAGCTCCAAATTATGTCTTAGAAAAATTGACTCTTACCAGTGCTTTCTTGGGTTCAAGAAGATGTGACAAGGCATTCTCTTTAGAGGTGTGTTGACATGTATTAACCCCGGCCTAGGTAATCTGATTGTTACAGCTCGTGGCTTTATTTAACTGGCAGCATAAAATAACTGTTCTTGAGGGCTAACATCAAACTCATCAATTTTCAATGGCTATCAGCAGCTCCGTTGAGAGAAACAGTATTTAGAGAGGGCTGCCTTAATAAATCATTTCTCTAGATTCATATTTCTTAACTTTGGCTGGGCATTAGATCACCTGGGCATTTGTAAAAATATAGACAGCTGGACTTTTGCTGAGATTTTCATTGGAATTTTCACCGAGATTCTGATTCAGCAGGTCTAGAGTCACCCCAGATATCAGCATTGTTAAACATCTCCATGTATGTCTTTGTTGAGAAGCCAGCTGTGAGAATTACTGCAAGACAGTCTAAAAATTGATCACAAATTAAAATGCATAAGTAGGGGCCAGGCAGGTAATGCAAATGACTTAAGCAGATTAGTGAGGACTGGAAAATCTACTGTCTATCCCTTGGCCCAAAGGGGCAGCCTGATACTTGGTGCCAACTAATTGCAGCCATGTGAATCTGCTATTGCCAGATCTTACAATTCCTTAAGGAATGCCGAAGTATCTGAATTTTTATGTGCAATTGTCCAATTTTTATGTTTGCTCAATTTAAACTCCCTACTATTGTGGCCCAAAAAAATATACTTCAGGCCAAATTTTAGCTCAAGGGCACTCTGTTTGCAACCTCTGCAAAAATCTTCTCTCGGTTAAAGCCAGTTTGCTAGAGAGCCATTTTGCTGGACTGCATGAACTGGCCCTCCACTTAGTTTTTATAGAATGGTGGTGTATTTCTATATTAGGAGAAGGCACAAGAACAGCCCCACCAAGATGAATCACTTTGTCTGTTGCAGCACTGCTATAGGGGCATTCCTTGTTTATCCTCTTCCCAACAGCTCTGGGGGAAATGTGTTCCCAGCCTTAGCATGAGGACAAGCTGAGGTTCTCCTGAGTGGCTGCTTTGTGCTGTTCTAAGGACACTCTGAATGATGCAATTGATCATGCTCCTCTCTTTCGCTGCGTTTTACCATCTTGGAGCCATGCTACATGTCTTGATTTTAGCAAGAATATAAATGGTAAGGTATTTATTTTTTCACAGTAATTAAATTTCTGCTTTCACTTTGTAATATTACCTTGTTTATTCTCTATGTTTTCAGTCTTCTGACTTATCTTGCTATGTTTCCAAATCTTTAATTAGATATCTTAATTTATTTTTGAGTGGATGTATAACAGGTGAAAAAAATGATGAATATTGAAGAAACTGTTTGCTTCCCCCCACCCTTGTTTTAGAGACAGAGTCTTGCTCTGTCACCTAAGCTGGAGTGCAGTGGTAAAATCATAGCTCACTGTAGCCTTAAACTCCTTGGCCAAAGCAATCCTCCTACCTCAGTCTCCTGAGTAGCTGGGACTACAGATGTGTACCACCATGCCCAGCTAATTTTATTTTTAATTTTTTTGTGTGTAAACATAGTAGGGTCTCACTTGTTGCCCAGGCTGGTCTCAGACTCCTGGGCTTAAGCCATCCTACTGCCTTTGTGTCACAAAGTGCTGCAGGTACAGATGTGAGCCACCACACCCAGCCTGTTTTGTTTTAATTGAAAATAGCATTTGAGGTTTTGATAGAAGACAGTCAGGAAATAATACCTCAGTGTACAGCAGAGCTTAAAGCATTCTATATTATGCCCAGAGTGAAAGCAAAGTGTCTGCAATATTTATGCATTTTTACACTTATCTACATTAATTAGAGTCTGTAGGATTAATCTGGATTTAGCAGGACATGGGAACTTCAAAGCCTATTTATAATTAAGTTTTAAAAACCATCATTACATTTTTAATGTCTCAAAAGAAATATATATTTAAATTTTTGAAGGATACTGCAAAATTGTCCTTGATGATTTGCTTCTCCAATTCTCTCGACCTACACGAGAAAGCGTGGACTTTGTCTTCAGCCTTGTCTTCGCCAGTACTGAATAGCATTAACCTGTAAAACATTTCCACCATGTTTTAGGTGATAAGTTGCTTTCATTTGTTGGTGAGTTTGAACATTTTTTCATACATTTTGCCCATTTTTATTTCATCTTCTTAGATTTTTTTTTCAAATATTTTCCAGTGTTTTGATTTTTTAATTTAGGTTGTATGTGACTCTTTTATACTGTAAAACTAAATATGTTATTGGTAATATGTTATAAATTTCTAACTCTTAGACACTGGTGTATTAATTTTATAATAACAAAAGATAGCATAAAGTTTTGTTTTCACCTTGTCAAATCCAATATTGCTTTAATTCTGAGTGTTTTGCTCTGGAAAATCACCCCCCAAAAAATAGTGGTAAAACATGATAAACTGTAATAAAATAGTTTAAATTTTTATATACAAATACAAAATTACATATCTATGTTTAGTTTTTAAGTCCATTTGGAATTTATTGTTGTAAGCGATTGTGGGTTAGGGATTTCATTTTCAATTTAGTAATCATTTGTCCTAACACTATTTATTGTTCAAAAAGCTCTTTATTTTCCTATTACTTGAAGTAGTCCAGTTACAATATTTTAAATGTATTTATTACTTTTAGAAATCACAAATGTACTCATTGATTTGTTGAATCAAATCAGCAATACAAATCAAAGGCAGCCCAAAATATTGAAACTTTTTAAAGCAATGGTTTGTTTTGACAATAGGAGGGAATTGCATTCAATTATTTTTCTTTTGGCAACCAAACCTTGTAAATACTATGATGCATATTTGAATTACCCAATACATTTTGATAATCATTAGTACTTACAGATGTGGTTTTGATTAAAACAATAAATGAAGAAAATCAATTTTGGTGACACTTTTTTAAAAGAAATATTGATTAAGTGAAAAATAATTTTTCTTTAAAAATGGGGCATGTTTAGAAAATTACCTGAAATGTCTTATTTTTTATTATGTGCCAATTGATATATTTGTATAATTCTATTAAATTATGTATCACTATATTCCCTAGAAAATGCTTTCTATGTGATTTTATTTTTTAAACTTCAGTTATATATTGGTAGTCTTAATGGCCACTTTGTCTTATTTTGTGAAATTTCCACATTATTTTACAAATCAATCTGCTTCATCAGTGTCAGGAACATGCTCAAAGTCATCAAGTGTTGGCAAAAGAGAAGGCTTGGTAAGGTTAATGTAGAAGCAGAGAAACTGAAAGCTCTGAGATCTCTTAGGCATGAAGAAGCATGACACCTTTGTTTTGGAGATGGTGAGTTAAGGTCTTCAGTTTAAATAAATATAAAGGACTATATTTAATGCATGTATTAAATATATATATAGCTTTGGTTTATTCATTTTAACTTCTGTATAGATGCTTGCTTATGAATATGATATTATTGATGATTTCCCTCAGGCTGTTCATCATTTTTTACTATTACAAAAATGCTACGCATCCTTGTTCCTATCTCCTTGAATAATTATGTGGAATAATCCTCCAACACAGTGGTCCCCAACCTTTTTAGCGCCAGGGACTGGTTTCATGGAAGACAGTTTTTCCCGGGGGGGATGGTTGCAGGATGAAATGGTTCCACCTCAGATTGTCGGGTATTAAATTCTTACAAGAAGTGTGCAACCTATATCCCTGTATGCACAGTTCTCAACAGGGTTTGAACTCCTGTGAGAATCTAATGCTGCTGCAGATCTGACAGGAGGCAGAGCTCAGGGCCTTGTTTGCTGCTCACCTTCTGCTGAGTGGCCGATTTTCAACAGGCCATAGACCAGTACTGGACCAGGGCCTGAAGGTTGAGGATCCCTGCTCTAACACATACAGCTAGAAGTATGCAATGTTGGGTGTTAAGGAATATGCATTTTCACCTGAAACACGTATCACTAGATGGCTCTTCTAAGCAGTAGTTATGACACCCAAGTAATGAATAACAACTAGTTTCTCTAATATTTGATATTTTCAGTTATTTGTGTCAAATGTGTGTTAAGAAGTAGTATATCAATGTTGTTTTAATGTGTTTGTCCTTAATTGAACGTGAAGTTACATGTGTTTACTATTTGATGTTGTTCCACTGATAAACAACTGTTCATATTATTTGCCTATTTTTCAGGTTTATTGAGGAATAATTGACACACAATAAACTGCATGTATTTTAAAGTATAAAATTTAATAAGTTTTGGCATATGTACATATATATAAAACCATCACCACCCATCAAATTAACATAATGAACATATCCATCACCCCATATATATATATGTGATCTATCACCCACAGACGTACTATGGGATTAAATTTATGTAAAGTTCTAGAAAATGCAAACAAATATGTAGTGACATGAAGCATATCAGTGGTTGCTTGGGAATGGCAGAGTTTGCAGGAAGACTAAGAGGAGATGGGGAGATGACAAAGCGGGGATCAGCTCTTTCCTCTTCCGTGTAAATTTTAGAATGTCATTAAAATGCCACAAAACTATGTTTTTGGAATTTTGATTGGATCGCATTGAGTTCATATATGAATTTGGAGAGACTAACATTCATGAAACATTGATTTTCTCCATTCATGAATGTTCTTTCCTTTCATTAATTTATTTTTATTTTTCATTCTTATTTTTGTAGAGACGGAGGTCTTGCTGTGTTGTTCAGTCCAGCCTCAAATCCCAGACCTCAGCTGATCATTGCAACTCAGCCTCTCAAAGCACTGGGATTACAGGCATGAGCCACAGCATTCAGCCTTAATGTTTTATATTTTCCATTAATATCTTGAATAAAATTTTAGAAAAGTTTCCTAGGTATGCTGTAAGTTTTGTTTCTATTGTGAATTGGATTCTTTTTCCACTTCCACATTATAACTGGTTATTTCTGATGCACGAACATACTATTGACATGTAATTTGGCTATTAAAACGGGAAAACTTAAAAAGCTATTAAATTTTAATAGATTTGTTTTTAATACCTTCTTACCCTTCCCTATGGAGACAATCACGTTGTCTGCCAATAATGACAATTTTGTCTTTTCCTCTCAAATCCCATACCTCTAATGTCTATTTTTTTCCATCACAATGGCAAATACTTCTTGTACTGTGTTGAATACTATGTTTTTCTCAATTTGGAGAGAAGGTGCCTGTAGTTTCGTCAAGATCATAAATAATACTGGGTCAGATTCAGTTCAAATTTGTTTTCAATTTTAGTTTCCTATCAAACCATAAAGTAAGCTTTCTAAGAAGGTAAGTAACCCTACTAAGCAGATGCAGATTCCCAATGACTCCTTTATTACTCAGAGATCTGTGCCTACATTGGTGGTTAATTCAGCCATGGGAAATGAGAAATCCACATGTCAGTGGACCTCAGAAATTATTACTTCAATGCCTTGTATACAGCAAGGATGAAAGAGGGTTCACATTAGGCCCAAGCTCGATCTCTTGTCAGGTAAGAAATTTTTCTTTTCAAGCACTCTGTTTCATTCTTGAGCATTTTATTTCTACTGTGTCACGAGGCCTGGAGTGCCTTTGGTCATGGACTACCACATTAGGTTAGAAATTTTATTTTATTCATAGTTTGCTAATTTAAAAAAATGACAGTGTTTTTATTAATTATAATTTTTACATATTGAAATAAATATATACATTTTAAAATATATTAATGGGGAAAATTATGCCAACAGTTTTTTGTTTTTTTTTTTTTTGACAGAGCTTCACTCTGTTACCCAGGCTGGAGTACACTGGTGCATTCTCCGCTCACTACAACCTCCGTTTCACAGGTTGAAGCAATTCTCCTGCCTCAGCCTCCCAAGTAGTTGGGATTACAGGCACCTGCCACCACACCTGGCTAATTTTTGTATTTTTAGGAGAGACAAGGTTTCACCATGTTAGCCAGGCTGGTCTCGAACTCTTGACCACAGATGCTCCACCTGCCTAGGCCTCCCAAAGTGCTGGGATTACAGGTGGGAGCTGCCTCGCCTGGCCCAGGTTATTAAATGTTGAATCTGCTTTGCATTCTTTGGATAAATTCTCTCTGGTTCTAACATATTATTTTTCTTTATATTATTAAATTTGATTTGCTAACATTTTAATAAGATTTTTATAGACTGCGACTTTTAGATAATACTGATCTATAATTTACCCATATTTTTAACCACTCTTTTTGTTTCATTTTTCTTGACACTATGTTTATGTTATATAAATATATAGCTGGGTTTTGTTGTAGCTATTGCTTCAATCATATCTAATTTTTTCAGTCTTTTTAAAATAGTCATTTTCTGTAATTTGTTATTTTATATTAGCTATATTTGCCAATGGTTACAGTTTTTTCTAACATACTAATATGCATTTCCTATTTATTGTGCCTTCTCTTTGCTTCTTTCCTTCTTTAAAACCTTCTTATGAATTGATGAAGTTTTCTTTATTTTTCCTCACTAATTTATGAGTTATATATTTTATTTCCTTTATTTTAGGATTGAGGCTAAAATTTTAAAATTGTTACCTAAATTTCAAATTTAAGTAACAATGTTTCAGTTTGTTAAATATCTCAAATCCCATTTCAAGACAAGAAAATTAATGTTTTAATTTTATTCCAAATTCTACCAATTCTATTATTATTATTATTATTATTTTTTTTTTTTTGGGACGGAGTTTCGTTCTTGTTACCCAGGCTGGAGTGCAATGGCGCGATCTCGGCTCACCGCAACCTCCCCTCCTGGGTTCAGGAATTCTCCTGCCTCAGCCTCCTGAGTAGCTGGGATTACAGGCATGCGCCACCATGCCCAGCTAATTTTTTGTATTTTTAGTAGAGACGGGGTTTCACCGTGTTGACCAGGATGGTCTCGATCTCTTGACCTCATGATCCACCCGCCTCGGCCTCCCAAAGTGCTGGGATTACAGGCTTGAGCCACCGCGCCCGGCCAATTCTATGATTAATATCTAGTATTTTAGTTTTATTTTTAACTAACAAGAATTATTATTATTAACATTAACAACCAATGTTTATTTAGATTTACCATTACTTTATTGTTTTCTTTTTTTACTTTTATGTTTTTGCTTTCCACTTTATTCTTTAGTAGTTTATGCAGTGGATTTTTTATTGGAGTGAAATCTTCATTTTTTTTCCCCATTTATTTATTTTATTGCATTTTAGGTTTTGTGGTACATGTGAAGAACATTTAAGATTGTTGCATAGGTACACACGTGGCAGTGTGATTTGCTGCCTTCCTCCCCATTACCTACATCTGGCATCTCTCCCCTTGCTATCTCTCCCTAGCTCCCCATCCCCCACCGTCCCTCCCCTATTTCCCCCCAACTGACACCAGTGTGTAGTGCTCCCCTCCCTGTGTCCATGTGTTCTCATTGTTCAACACCCACCTATGAGTGAGAACATGCAGTGTTTGATCTTCTGCCCTTTTGTCAGTTTTCTGAGAATGATTGGATGAACCTGGAAATCTTCATTTTTTATATGTCTCTTAATGCCTTTATTTCACTCTCAATACTGAGTGATTGAATTGCTTGGTATAATATTGTTAGAGATATAATTTCTTATGTTGTTACTGATTATTACTAGAATTCTTCTGTGACTCTGTGTTCCTTGGTATATAATCTTTTTCTTATGGTTACTGAACGATTTTCTTTTCAATGTTCTACAATTTTATTATGATGTGTCTAGATGTGAATCTGACTTGGAAATTTCTGCATCTCCAGAAAATAATCTTTTTAAATATTTTTTCAGCCTTTTAAAAAACAATCTTTCTCCTGTTCTACCTTTTCTTTTTGGAATGCCTGCTGGATGTATATGGCTCTTCCATAAGTCCCCCATATCTTTTAACTTCCATGTTTCTCAGTACTTCATTATATGTATTTGGTGAATTACTCAGCTCTGTTTTCACATTTACTAATTCTGTCTTAAGCTGTGTCTTTACTATGTCTTTCCTCTATTGTGTGTGCTTTTCACCAAAGATATTTTTTAATAAGATTTATAGATTATCTCCCTGACTAATATTTTCTAGTGAAGATTCTTTTGATATTTCATACTCTCAAATCATAGAATATATGTATCTTTCAACACATTTTATCTGATACTTATACAGGAAAAATTTACAATTTCCCTCAAAACTCAAATGCATTGTTTTAAACAAAATGATACGCTAGGAAATCCTCAAGCTGAATTCTAGATACATGGGGTAGAATGTCAGAGTCAGAGGTGGCTCTTCTGGGAGGTGCACTGAGTATCAGCAAAGGAGGCCTGCGGTGAGCTCCTGCACACGAGGCTGCTGTTTCTTCACACGCATACTATTTTTTATTTTGGCTATCCAGAAGCAATGTTTTAAGCACTTCACATTCTAACATGATACTTATTTATATAGGTGTTTTATCGTGTTTTAGTTATATTTCAAAAAAAGTTATCTTTTACCAAAGTTTAGAGATATCTATATCCCACAGATTCCAAAATATGCACAAAGATCATCAAAACCAGCTGGGACTAGAAGTAGCCACAGGTAGGTATGTGGGGAATGCCTTTTAGTATTGGTTTTCTAGAGCAGTCACAAATTCATTATTTTTTGAAAAAATTATATTTCCCTCCCCCCTCCCTTCCTCCCTCCTTCCTTTCCTCCTGCTCTCTCTCTCTCTCTTTCTCTTTCTCTCTTTCCTTGTTTTTTATGTGACAGGGTCTCACTTTGTTGCCCAGGCTAGAGTGCACTGGCCTGATCTTGGCTCACTGTGTCCTCCACCTCCTGGGCTCAAGTGATTCTCATGCCTCAGCCCCCTGAGTAGCTGCAACTACAGGTACATGCCACCACACCCAGGTAAATTTTTTTGTGTTTTTTGTAGAGAAAGGGTTTCACCATCATGCCCAGCCTGGTCTCAAACTCCTGGGCTTAAACCTCCCAAAGTGCTGGAATTACAGATGTGAGTCCCTGCACCTGGGCAAAATTAAATTTTCTATAATTTTAAGGTATTTTGGAAAGAAAGAGAAAGGGGAAGGCAGAAAGGAAGAAGAGAGAGGTTTGGCCACTCTGACTACACAATTCAAGCTCCATGTCATTTATTGTGATGAAACTTAACTTTGAGCATTTATAATCTTTCAATAAATGTATACATGTCTTCTTATAACATACAAGGTAGGTGCTATTAATTTAACTATTTAAAAATGAAACTTTAAAAACTAAGGTTTAATTAAAGTTGTGAAATACTTCATCCAATATCATTACAAATAGAAAATTTCAAAGCCAAGATGCCAATTTTCTTTTAAACTCCATGTATATAACATGTTACATATAAAATGTAATATATATGTTAATATGTTATAATAATACCATATATGAGCAGATATATAAAACATATGGTAGGCATATCATAGTACCCCCCTGTGTTCTATATTGTGAACAACTAACTAAATTAATCAAGATATGAGAAAGTTTCCCTCCCCTCTGCAGGCAACATTAAATTTCTTGAGTCTGGGCTAATTAAAGATAAAACTATGTTATGGTTAATATCCAAAGAAACATAAAAAACTCCAAACCTTACAAAATATTTTAGTGTGAGTAGGGCAGAATCTCATCTGAGTCCTCACTGGGGAGCAGTGCGTCATTCTGGATTAGAATTAGGGAAAGTTAAAATGATCCTCGGCCGGGCGTGGTGGCTCACGCCTGTAATCCAAGCACTTCGGAGGCCAAGGCGGGCGGATCACCTGAGGTCGGGAATTCAAGACCAGCCTGACCAACATAAGGAAACCCTGTCTTAGAAAAAAAAATAAAATAATAATAAAATAAAATAAAATAAAATAAAATGATCCTAAAGTCCATAATCATTGCAAGTGGTGACAGCTTTCAGTGTTTTACTTACATACTTTTCTTAATTTTCTTTTTCCCCTCTTATTCTGCCTCTCAGGAGAAGGTTGACAAGAAAACTTTTACTTTGGGGAAAAGGGAACCCCTTTTCCTAGCACTAAGGCTTTCGATAGGATTCTGATTATCAGAGATCACAATGCCCACTGCATCCTCACCTAGCGCCTGCCCTCCTCTCCTGCCTCTTCTCTGTATCCCAGTGGCCACGTGGGGTTGAGATGATCTGGAGGCTGCTAAGAAGCTCTCCAGGGCAACCTCTGGAGCCCAGACCAAGCACACGATACAGAGCACCCCAAGAAACCACAAAAGTTAGCTTTGGTGTCCTTTTGCTTCCAAAGCCTTCCCTTATGCAAAGTCAAAGGCTGTTCAAATCACCAAGGGCTTCTGTAGCATAATATTCCATTTTTAGTCATTCTTGCCCATGGAGAACAACCTGATCTTCCAGAACTTCCAGACTTTCTGGTCCACCTAAAACTTCTTTCTACCCTAATCTTACTGACCAATTCTGATGAACAGGACGGGGGGAGAAGGAGAGCTGCTTGATTCAGGCCAGCACTGTGACCTAAAAAAACGGGGTGAAAAAGGACATCAAGGGAAATCCTGCTCCTTTTTTATCTCTCACTCTGTGCCAGGTACTGCCCAGATGCCCCTTTTGGGGAAGGAGGGCTGACTTGGACAACTGTCTCAGTGACCACAGTCAGCAATTTGGATAGAAGGAGCTATTACAATGGCAGGCATTGCTACCCAATGTAGAAATAGATTCAGAAACCCAAGAGGGCAAGCCAAGGCAGTGTCCATCAAGGAAAAGAGCGATTTATGATAGGGTCTTGAAGAACTAAAAATGTCCATGTCTAAATGACAAAGGGGGTGGACATCATGGTTCCTGAAGCATCATAGGCTCAGGCTGGGGTAGGCATCAGGGTTCACGGAGCCTTCACAGTAAACCTATGAGGTAGGCATTTAGCCTCATTTTATAGATGAAGGACCAGTAGCTCAGAGTAGTCCAAGGTACTTCACCCTGTGTTTCTCCAGGCCAGACTTTCCTCCAGGCTTCAGACTTACTATAGGCATCTCCACTTAGAAATTCCATGTGAATAATAAATGCAATATATTGCAATGTATAAAAATGGCACTTGTCCTCCCACAAGCCTTCTCCTTTTCTATTCATCCTGGAGTCTTCCTTCTTCCTCTACAAGTACCTATAATCAGATATCTTTGACTTAACCTTTTACATATTTTTTTGAAGCTGCCCTCTGTCCCAGCATTGCTTTCACGGACCTTGTTGAAGACCTCATCCCTCACCTGCCAATTTCAGCAGCTTCCTCATGAGTGCTCCTTATTTGAGCACTTCCTCCCTACAACTGCCAGAGTTACCCATCTAAAATGTAGGTGGGAGCAAGTGAGTCTCCTTCTTAAAACACTATTGTCTTCCTCTGGGCCACTAGATCTCATTGTTTAAGGCTGAGCAAAACCTCTTGTAATCTTCCAAGAAAGTTCCCTGGCCCCTTCATAATTGTTAGCCTGTCTCTTTCTCATATTACCCAGGGTGTATAGCTGTCATAGCCGATGGGGATCCTGAGTGAAAATACTGAAGTAAAAGGGAAGGGATGATTATACTAAGGATTCAGATGAATGGCAAGCCCCCAAAATTCTTCAATGTAGGAGAAATAGGAAAAAATAATTACAGAAGAACGAGCTGAGTTTGAAAAGGCTGAACTTTAAGCCTAAGATTAAAAGAGAGCTAAAAACTTCTGGGAAACTGAAAATGGCATAGTGGAATGGAAATTAACATTCGAAGCAACGTAGAAGAGAATGGACATGTGAAAAGAAAACAACAATTGTTGAGGAAAAACTGGAGTTCCCTTGGGTTACAGAAGAAAAGAGAGATGGTTGATATAGGGGTTTTTTTTGTTTGTCATTAATAGCACACGAATAGTAGTAATTTCTTAAGAAACTAGAAAAAAGAGAAAGATGTATTAAATAAATATATGCATAATAGAAGAATATTTCCTGTGCTAAATAAAGAGCTACATGTGTAGATTTCAAACACCTTTTTTTTTTTTTTTTATAAGACAAGCTGATAAAAAAAGACTTGCATTTAGACAAGTCTTGGTAAAAATGCTTCAATTGTAAAGAAAAATAAGTAAAGTAGGATTTTGTTTTGTTTTGTTTTCATTTGAGAACAGTAGTTAGGTAGCTTTCAGACTTATAACTCTAACTCTGATCCCAGAACATATGGAAGAGACCACAGTGTATTTGAGGAAATTTTGTGCCCCAGATTGTGTATTCAATGCAAACCTTGTAATGTTTGAAGGCAACAAGAATAACAGTTTTAGGAAGTGTAAAATACATGTATGAACAAAGAAATAACATGTGACATAGGAGCAATCTCAGTATAATTGAGATGCAAATTAATATTAAGAATTAAGAATGTAAAATCTGTGTGTACGAATCATATATGAATAATATGTCAGATAATAAGCACTGAAATCTGTTAAACATAAACATGTTTAAATATTTATTTCAAATAAACTTAAAAACTAGATACCAATTATTTTCGATAAATGAATATCATATGATGAAAACAATACTAGAAACAATAATATTTCTGTTTCTCCATCATTCTCAGCAAACTGACACAAGATCAGAAAACCAAACAATGGATGTTCTCACTCCTAGGCGGGTGTTGAACAATGAGAACACGTGGGCACAGGGAGGGAAACATCACACACTGGGGTAGGTAAGTGGAAGGGGAGTTAGGGAAGGGACAGTGTGGGGAGGGGAGGATGGAGAGGGAAAACAGGGAGAAACGCCTGATGTAGGCAACGGGGAGGGAAACAGCAAACCACCGTGGCGTGTGTGTACCTACGCAACAACCCTGCGGGATGTGCACATGTACTCCAGAGCTTAAAGTACAATAAAAAATTAAAAAATAATTCTGTTTCTAAAATCTCAGATTATGTCAACAAAAACCATGAAGTGAGTGAACAGAGAGTAAAGGCATAATAAATGTATCCATCTTACTAAGGGGAAATGAAAATATGCATGAGATTTTTACTTGACCAATCAGCTAAATATAATTCCAAATATAATTTTGAAAATATTGTTACTACTACCATCAAATAATAGAAGCGATACCTATCTAAAAATCACAAATAAAACCTAATATATAGAGTAAGTTTCTATAGGTAATGAGTTAATATTACTTGTAAAGAAACTAAAATGTGTTTTACAAAAAGACAAAATTCAAGCACAAGAGTTCTATCAGCAAACCTAATTAATTTAAATGCCACAATTAGTAAAACAAATTGTATAACCTCCATAGGTCTCCAAATCAGAATCAGGGTCCTGATAAGAAATGAGTGAGACCTGGAGACCCAGGATGGAACATCTGAGTAGATGAGCCTGAGAATCTTGAATCTCAAACTTCCCCCTGGGACCCTCTGGCTGGCAGATGCAACCTACCTTCCTTGCTGGAAGGGAGCATATTTATCCTGCAAAGACCTCAGCTAAGGCTGAGATTCCACAAAAGGATGTCTAGTTCCTCAAGGAGACCAGCTCAGCTCTTAGTGTCAGGTTGATTCTATTACATGCCTCTACCTAGGATGCAGGTGTGACTTCTACACTGTATATGAGTATGTCCCCTTTGACTCTGCCATCACTGCAATCCAGTGGCTTATGGAATACCAGATATCTCAACATGTAATCTTATATAATGCTCTGAACCAAGAGACTGATTTCATGATAATGGAGTTGCAAAAATGGATACATGACCATAAGGATCCACTTGTTTTATCTCATTGTCCAGAATCAACAAGATTTACAGAAAGTTGGAGTAACCTCTTAAATAGCTAAGGGTCTGCTTGAGGACCCTGCAGATTGGACACTGTTCTCTAGGTCACAGTACATGCAGTAAACCAATGGCTGATCGAAGGTGCTATAATTCTATTAGAACAAGTGAGTTCAGGAACCTGGAAGTGGAAGTGGGATTGGCTCCCCAACTTGCAGAATATTATATTGCTAGATTAGGTATTCTGGATCCCCAGCTTGGGGTGGGGGTGGATGTTTCCACTAGGAGACAAATTATAATGTTCCTTTGAACTTGAAGCTATGACTACCATTGCGTCACTAGGAGCTGGGGAGAAATGGACCTTGCTTGCTGTGTAGAGCTAGGATAGAATGAGGCGGGGATACTCATGGAGGTGTGTCTTGTTGCTCCAGTACCTGGTGACCTAATTGAATGATCATTTTCAGCAGCCATAGTCTGGCAAGAAAAGGCCATTTATGACACAGATATGTCAGTTACAAAAGTCTGGGTCACCATATTTGATCAACAACCTCGACCAGCCCAAGTGCCAGCCAAGAATAGGGGCGGATGAGGAAGATGATAATGGCAATAGTACTGTACAGACTTGGGACTAAAGCTACAGTAGAGGTCTACAGTCCACAGCTTGCTCCATTAGACTTTGCTCCATTAGCCTTCTTGTATTCAATTTTGGAGGAGATTAGTTTGGCCACTGTTTTGACAGGGACTCCATGACTGAATAAAATTAATGGAGGGTATAAGGAGATCAAGGGGTTCAAGGGGGTGGATTATGTGGCACCCTTTGTGTACTTCAAATCCTCTCACCCTTTTAGCTCCAGCCACCTCTGCAATGATCAGGCCTACACATCCTTCCAGCAGCTTCACGCAGGTGCAACCTTACAGCAACCATGCCTTGGAATGTCTGCCACGTACCTCTCACTCTCTGCCCTGGGTCTTCTTGGACATTGTGGTGTCGAATGCTCCGGGGAACTGGGTGACCACTTATGCTCTTGCAATCAGAAAATGAAGGAGAGCAAGGGCTGCAAAGACTGCTTTGATCAATGAGGGAAGGAAGCTAGGGACTCGTGCTTTCTGCCTTTCATGCCATGGGTGACAGTTCTAAGGAGTGCAGTCACGTGCCCCTGATAACAGGGACGGGTTCTGAGGAACGGGTCACTAGGCAATTTTGTCATTGTACATCGTAGAGTGCACTTACACAAACCTAAGTGGTAGAGCTTACTACCTGCCTGGGCTACATGGTGTAACCTATGACTCCTAGACTCTAAACCTGTACAGCATGTTGCTGTACTGAATACTACAGGCAACTGTAACACAGTAGTATACCTCTTCCATCTAAACAGAAAACATATATTAAAAATATGGTATAAAAAATTAAAAATTATATTCCTATATACAGAACTTATCATGAATGGAGCTTACAGGATTGGAAGCTGCTCAGGATGAGTCAGTCAGTGGGTGGTGAGTGAACCTGAAGGCCTGGAGCATTACTGCATGCTACTGTAGACGTCTTAAACAAGATGCTCTTAGGCTACATTAAATTTATTTACAAATTTTTCTTTCTTAAATAGTAGATTAACTTTAGCTTACTATAATATTTTTACTTTTTAAAGTTTTTGTCTCTTTCGTAATAATGCTTAGCTTAAAACACACAGTGTATAGCTGAAAAAATATTTTCTTTCTTTATAGCCTTATTCTATATAATTTATTTTCTATTTTAAAATTTTTTTATTTTTATTTTTTAAACTTTTGTTAAAAACAAAGATACAAACATACACATTAGCCGAGGCCCACACAGGCCCAGGATCTCCAATACGACTGTCTTGCACCCCACCTCTCTCCCACTGGAAGATCTTCAAGGCACTAACACCTAACACCCATGGAGCTGTCATCTCCCGTGATAATAATGTCTTCTTCTAGATACTTCCTAAAAGACCTACCTGAGGCTGATTCAGTTTATTTTTCCCCCTTATGAATGGAAGGAGTATACTCTAAAATAGCAATAAAAAGTACAGTATAACAAATACATAAAGCAGTAACAGTTATTATCAAGTATTATGTACAGTATATAATTGTATGTGCTATGCTTTTATGTGACGGGCAGCACAATAGGTTTATTTACACCAGCGTCACCACAAACACGAGTAATGCATTGTGCTATGTTGTTATGACAGCTGTGATTTCACTAGGTGATAAGAATTTTTCAACTCCATTGTAATCTTATGTGGCCACTATCATATATGCAGTCCATCACTGACTGAACTGTTGTTATATTCATGGCTGAATTTCACAAAGCTGGACAGAAGGTCCCCTGAGATCCCATGAGTGCTCATTCAGTTGGTTTTCTTTACCTGTGGTTCTGATATCTCATTGCCAAAAAAATATCTGCACACAAGTCGTTATCTTGGGCTGTGCCTTCAGATTATGACTCTTGGGCTGTAATAATTTTGTTACAATGTACAGATAAACAATATAGTAGTTTTCAAGATTTTGGTTTTAGGACCCTTTAAAATCCTTTTTTGAGAATGAAATATACAATATAACATATAATTTTAATAATTTTATTCAGCTATACAGTATAGCAGTTTTCAATGTTTTGGTTTTAAGACCCTTAAATATTTTTTTGAGCATCCTTTTATGAGTACTTTGGTCTCATGATTATACTTTAAGAGTATAATCTTTAAAACTACCCCAAAGAGCTTCTTAATGTGAGCTATATCTATTGATATTTACAACACCAAAAATGAAAATTTGAAAATTTTACATTTGTTTATAAATTCCTTTAAATATATTAGTAAATTCATTGCATGTTAATATAAATAACGTTTTATGAAAAAGAAACTGTATTTTCCAAAACAAAGTAAAAAACTTATAAGAAGAGTTGCGTTATCTTATTCTTTTGCAAATCTTTGAAATGTCTGGTTAAATAAGAGACAGCTGGCATCTCATAGTTGCTGCTGTAGTTAGTCTTTGTAATATGTGATTTTAGTTCAAGTATCTGAAAAAAATCCAGCCTCACAGAGGAGATG